TATATATATATATATATATATATATATATATATACACACACACACCTCTCTCGTTTTTTTTTTTTTGTGTGTGTTTATAAAGTGTTTTATGTTCTAAATAATATAAATGTTGTACCATAAAGTTCATTGATATGAGCAACTTCTTATCTATTGTATAAAATATTAGTGTGCCAAAAATTTATAATTGCTCAGAAGGCTATAGTGGACATCTGATTTTGATAGTAAGGTCTTCATGTTTTTTAGGTTGAGGATTACAAGGACAATCTGAAAATTGAGGTAAGAGAAAATACAAATTGATAATTAAAGTAGAATATGCATTGAGATGACTCAAATAATAATTGCAATGAAATATTATGTAAGTGGATGATTGAGGTTGTATGTGTTTTTTTATGACTTACAAAGTCAGGGAAAAAAATGACAAACTTTGCAAACTGACAACTGTAGATAGAGATGAAATATATTTACCAGAGTTTCAGGAGATTTGTTTCCTAAAAAAAAAATTGCAAGTTTACTATACACTAAAAATGGGTATTTGAAATATAACTTTTTTGTTCTATGTTATATTCCCGTAAATTGAGCTGTTAAACTAAAAAATGGTGGCAAATAACATTATTATTAATTATCGAAGAATAATAACAAACATTATAAATAAGTAACGAGTATATGTTTTTTTTTGGAAAAACTGGAGTCGGCTATTTTTATATAAAATATAAAAGTTTGGTCTGATCTCATTCCTCAGAAGTCTTTTTTGTTTTACCTTCTTTTTCTTGATTACATTTCCTAAGTTTTATTTTTCACTTCTTCACATCTCTGATGGTGAGTTTTGTGTAAAATCTTATGGATACATAATACGGTGAATCACAAATTAGTGTGCTGCACTTATGATCATTCAAGTTTTATCACTAGAATTGCTTAGATCACATTATAAGGATTTTATCTGAAACTTTCTTGGTAAAACTTTACTAAATATGTTTTTTAGATTTGACATTTTGTAGTAAACACTTGAAAGGCAGTAAAATTTACTTGAGGATGTCTTTGATCAACCGAGGACACACACTGTTACAGTAAATAACTTTTTGCTTGTCATTTCAGCGTAATGTTTCTGGAAACCTACCTTTTGTTATGGCAACATTCTTAGAATGTGAAATCAATGAAACTTGTATCATTATGTATGTTTTAGGCTTACCTTTTTTAAATGTTTACCTAATTTTATTATGATTAATTTTAGCAGAATATTTAAGCAACTTAAGTTGAGTGGGAGGAGGTTTCTTGTAGCTTCAACTTAAGTTGAGAAGGGCCTCCTCCATTCAACTTAAGTTGCAACTACAAGAAAGCCTCCTCCCTTTTCAACTTAAGTTGCAAGCTACAAGAAACCTCCTCCCTTCTCAACTTAAGTTGAAGCTACAAGAAACCTCCTCCCTTCTCAACTTAAGTTGAAGCTACAAGAAACCTCCTCCCTTCTCAACTTAAGTTGAAGCTACAAGAAACCTCCTTTTCTTGTGGTTGCAACTTAAGTTGAGAATGGAAGGAGGTTTCTTGTGGTTGCAACTTAAGTTGAATGGAAGGAGGTTTCTTGTGGTTGCAACTTAAGTTGAGTGGAAGGAGGTTTCTTTTTAAGTTGCAACCACAAGAAACCTCCTTCCACTCAACTTAAGTTGCAACCACTTGAAAGGAGGGAGTTTTCTTGTGGTTGCAACCTAAGTTGAAAGGAGGGAGTTTTCTTGTGGTTGCAACTTAAGTTGAGTGGAAGGAGGTTCCTTGTGGTTGAACTTAAGTTGAGTGGAAGGAGGTTTCTTGTGGTTGCAACTTAAGTTGAGTGGAAGGAGGTTTCTTGTGGTTGCAACTTAAGTTGAGTG